CTCTTAAAAAATTAAAATTTTAACATTAAATTACGTTATTTATTTAATTAGAGATTAATTTAAAATTTAAAAATTTATCTTATATTGATATTGAAATTTAAAAACTAATTGAATTTTTAAATTAAAATTTTAATTTCTAAATATATATTTGAACTCTTTTTTTTTAAGTCAAAACTAATATGCACTAATATCTTAAAAATAAAAATACTTATTTTTTTTAAAATATAAAAAGAAAAAAAATAAGATATCTTAGTATTAAATATGTTAAAACGTTTAATCATAATCATTAAATGTGTGGGATATAGTGTGAGATTTAATTTTATCAAATTTATCATGTAATTATTATTAGATATCTTGATATTTTTAATAATAAAATGTACTAATTTATATATATATAAATTATTATTATTTCAAAATAATTTTTAAATAAAAAATATTTATTATTGTGCCACTAAATGAGCATAATCTATCCTTGGATGTAAAAAAATAAATATAAGATAGAGTTGACAAAGATGAACACAACTCCCATAATAAAAAAATGAATATTGTAATTTCCTTTTAATTCACCACGCGGATTGCGGAGATAGGATCCCCGAGAAAAATTCGTTAAAGGTCCGCCAAATCTGTCACCGTCAAGACTAAAAATAATGGAGAAAAATTAAATCCCACTGTTTATGTGTGCAGTCAAAGCACAGAAAACAGCCTTCACCTTTGCCTTTTTCTCTCTCATTTTGAGACGGGAAAAACAGAGAATGTGAGAAGAAGGTTCAGCGGCCACAAATACCGGAGAGTGGAGGGGAGCTAAAGCTTTATCGAAGCTGAAGATGATGCTTAAGTTTCCAATGTTATGGCTTCTCGTCTTCTCTTTGTCTCCGTTTTCGTCGTCGGCTCGACCTGGTTAGCATTCACTCTACTCTACTCTACTCTCTGTTTTTCAATGCTGGTGTTCCGATTCGATTTTGGTTGTTTGGAGATTTGGATTGAAATTTTAAAGAATGTATTTCAATTACTGGAGTGTTGATTTTTGAAATCGAGTTTACGCTTGATTGTTTCTTTTGTTGATCAGAGGTTTTTCCTAGTTTGATTCGATTTGTAGCTTTTGTGTGGTAAATTTTGTGAGTTTGATGTGAGAGATTTAGATTGGTGAATCGGTGATGGAAATGTGTTTTGATTATTAATCTCTTTTAGTTAATAGTTAGTCCAGTATGAATACATTATGCAATCGGTTTGGATCTGTTTGGTTACTGAGAAAAGCTAACAAACTGAAAAGGTGAAGCAAAATTTTTGATATTTTATTCTATTTATTGTGCATGAGATTTAAATTGGACCGGATTTTTTTTTTTTTTTCTGAATATTATTTTAAGTAACATTTGAAAAGTCAGGATTTCATTTTCCAAAATTTCCGTTATTCCTTCCATATATGGCAAATGAAAGAAAAAAAATGAAGAAAAAGAAAATTTGACTTAAATAATGAGTTATTTGTAAGGTGCAAACAATAAAATAGGGAATTCAAATGCAACAGTATAGTTGATCTAACCTTCACATTTTGCATTAACTAGGAATATGTAATTACTAGCATCAGGTGTTAGTGCATTGAGGAGTACAGAACAGATACCTGCTTGTTATGCATTAGCTAATATTTCTTGTATTTGGTTACATTTTGTGGTTGAATTTCTGAAATTTGTTCTTTATTACAGCACCATATGCCCTGCGCATAAGCTGTGGAGCCCGTGACAATGTCCATACTCCACCAACCTATACACTTTGGTTTAGGGATTTTGGTTATACAGGGGGAATTCCATATAATGCATCACGCCCTAGTGATATCACTCCCCCACTTAAAACACTTCGTTATTTCCCTCTTTCTGAAGGTCCAGAAAATTGCTACAAATTTCAAAGTGTGCCTAGGGGGCACTATTCTGTGAGGATCTTCTTTGGATTAGTTCCAGATTCTGATTTTGACAACGAGCCTCTATTTGACATTTCTATTGAAGGCACCTTGATTTATTCCATGAAATCAGGTTGGACTAAGCAAGAAGACCAAGCATTTACCGAAGCACTTGTGTTTCTTTCGGATGGCACTGCTTCTATATGCTTCCATAGCACTGGTCATGGAGATCCTGCAATACTTTCTATTGAAATTCTCCAGGTTGACAATAAGGCATACTATTTTGTTCAAGGGTGGAGTGAAGGTTTAATCCTTAGAACAGCTGCAAGGCTGACTTTTGGTACTAGTAAGGCACGGTTTGATGAAGATTATAGTGGGGATCACTGGGGTGGGGATAGATATTGGAGTCCCATCCGAAATAATGCTGATCATACTTTAGCAACAGATCATAGAATCAAGCAAGCTTCAGATGCACCAAACTTCTATCCAGAAGCTCTGTATCAAACAGCAGTTGTTAGCTCTGATAGTCAGCCTGGCTTAACTTATACAATGGATGTGGATCCCAATAGAAAGTATTCAATATGGTTACATTTTGCGGAGATTGATGATAGAGTCACTGGTATTGGGCAAAGGGTATTTGATATCTCAATAAATGGGCATCCTGAATTTCAAGACATAGATGTTGTGAAAATGAGTGGTGACCGCTATACTGCACTCGTACTTAACACAACTGTTGCTGTTAATGGGAGGACTTTGAGTATAAACCTACAACCGAAAAATGGTGGCAGTGCAATAATCAACACCATTGAGGTCTTTGAGATTATAGCTTCCGAATTCAAAACTTTACCTGAAGAAGGTGATGACTTTCTTTATCTTAAGTGTTTACTGAATTCTGCCATTTCCAAACTCTCTTACTCAAGTGCAATTTGCTGAATGTATGTGTTCATAATTGTTTGTGTACATATTTGTATAGAGAAACATACATGTGGAGTATTCCAAACTGATTGAATAGGAGCATTGTATTTTTTTTCTCATTTTTCCCCATCTTTGATCTTTTCCAAATGGTTCAAATGGAAGTGTTTTCTTAATTCCTTGATCTCCACAATTTAAATCTCTCATCCAAAGTAGAAAAAGGAAAGGCTGGATTGTATTCTTGCTTGCTACTTTGTCAGTGCATGTATGGTTTAAAGTGGATGACTTGATAGATTTAATTTCAGTAAATGTAAGGAAAACATGATAAAAGTATGATGAAAAGAAATGGAAAAGGTGGAATCTATTGGGATTATTGTTGATTACTGTGTTTCTTTGTAGTTTCTGTTGTGCCTTTTTGTGTCTCTCTGTATGTGTGTTTTATAGAAGGTTCTTTATTATGACTCGCATATCATTTGTAAATATATGTACTTCCACCTGCTTACACTTTACATATAAAAATTTTGGGTTTGTAAGTTTTTGAGTATTACTAATATGTCAATCCTTCCTTATTCCAGTAAGTGCTTTACAGGCACTGAAGAGTGCCTTGGGGCTTCCTCACCGTTTTGGTTGGAATGGTGATCCATGTGTTCCCCAAGAACACCCCTGGAGTGGAGCTGATTGTCATTTGAACACAACCACCAACAAGTGGTTCATTGATGGCCTGTAATCTCTTGATCTTTTGCTTAAAATTTGATTTTCTATTGATTTACAGTTGTAAAAGAATATTTCTTTTTCTTCCAGATTCAGCATTTCATCTTTTTAGTTTCCTTCAATGTCTTCTTGATAAGCTATCATTTTAAAACTGCCAGAGACATTATAAGTTCCTCTTACTTTAAATAAGTTATTAGTAAAAAGGATAATTTTTTAAAACGACTCTAATTGTTGACATTTAAGCATCCCTTTTTTTTATTCAAACAATAATGCATATTTTTTTTTCTTTTGAAACTTCTCAAATTCTGCTTAAAAGTAACATATTTCTTAAATTTATCTTCTTCCATTGTATGGAAGGAAGTGCATACTGTTAGCAGACCTTATTCTAGTTCTTAGCTTGGTTCAGCTTCATGTTTGTATAATGTTGAGACTCAGAGCAATGATTTAGGTTTAGAAGACCAAGGGGGAGTTGTATTACCTGATGCAACTGCTACCCTATCTTTACATTTTCCATTTGTCTGCCTATTTTCCATCTAGACTAAGTCTTGATTTTGGGTTGCACAATGCGAGACAACCCTCTCCATCCCTTCACCCACCTCACCCACATGCTGTACAAATTGAACTCAAGACCCCTTACTTATACTAAAAGGAGATTACTACTGAGCCACTTAAGTTGTTGACTAGACTAAGTTTTCTTGAGCCTTTTTTAGGAACTTTGCAAGTTTGTTCCATTCCTTAAAATTCCTATTAAGGTCATTTACAATGTCATCTGTGCAAGTTGTCTTTAGCTCTTTCATTGACAAGATATGCATTTTTTATCTTTTTTTTACTCTATAATTTCCTTTTTAGAATGTGACCTTACAAAGGCTTATATGGTTTCCCCAAACTTTGAAGTTCATATGTGATATGTAAATCAACTAATCTTTAATCTTCAAGTATTTTGTTTAAGTAACTTCTTTTCTTTTCTGCATGATCAGTGGTCTTGACAATCAAGGTCTTAGGGGTTTCTTGCCGACAGACATATCCAATCTGCATCATCTGCAGAGCATGTAAGTTCACTTTTATTTCTATTTCATCTTTTCAGTTACATTAAATAGTCTACTTGTATGTTTCTTCTTCACATGTCCTATTGCCCTGGACCTTGATTTTGTGATAGCATTAATACCTGAAATCATTGATTTTTTGCTCTCACAGAATGTTGCTGCTATTTTGCCTGTTATTGAATTTACATTAGTGGTATAGTTAGCAAGTCACTCTTATTCCAAATATTAAGTACCATGCTTTATACTCTTTTTCTGCAGAAATTTGAGTGGAAACAACATTCACGGGGCCATACCATCATCACTTGGAACACTTACTAGCTTGGAATTGCTGTAAGTGTTGTCTGACATGCTATCTCTTTTGATTTATTTATTCTGTCAATCTTACCTATACAATCTAACAGATGTCCTGTGAGCAATCCACTGAGGCAAAAAACCAAAAAATTGTACCTTTTTTATTCTCCTGGGGATTGACTTATAATCAAACCAAGTGGTGATAAACTGCTATTACCACTTCAAAAACATCCAAAAATGTTGAAGAAGTAAATAGGAACTAAAAAGACATAGATATGCAGCCTTGTCAAAATGCACCTTTATAGTGACCAAAATTGTACAGGAGACAAATGATCTAAGGAGTTACTGCATATACACTTTTCACTGTGTTATATCTGCAACTAGTCTGATTATTCCTTGATTCTTTGGTTTAGCACTATAGATGGTAGATCTGCATATAGCATTGACAACTAGAATCCATTCTTTTGTAAACAAAAACCTTAAGTTTGCTGGACATCTTAACATCTGTTGGGTTAATATCCCTGATATCATTATCTTAATTTACATTTTTCTATCAATTTTCCGCATGGTTTAGAGGAAATACAATGTTTGAGAGATAGATGAAAGGT